GTTACTTGTAGCCTTTGTAAATATGGGGTGTTGTAGTTAAATTTTTCTTATCAATGTTGTCATGTTTATCTCCACTTTCAGACATCTGGTATTCGGAAATCCATAGTTGTTGAAATGAAAACATAGGCTTATTTAATGTAATCTATGTTTTACGATGTTTTTACACTTCTTTACTACTTGTGCTTCTACCACATGAGTGGTTATAGGAGATCGTGAGTCTACGTGGATTCTACCTACTGTTTCGCGTTACTGGAGTGACATCGGTTATTGAGTTTTGCTGCGTCGAATTCGAAAGTATGCATAGGACATAAAATATAGGTGGAAACCTTACTGTATGATAGGATATTCTATGTGGTCTAAATGAAACCAAAAGGGTTAGACGTTCGGAGTATATTGTTCGGATTTATTTATTTAATGGGTTTTGTCTCTATTTCCTCGGAGAGGTGATATAGACGGTATGCATAACGGCTAGTAGCGATTATTTGGCTTGCGGTAATGGGATTCGCGTGGGCGTGCGTGCGTGCGGTTGGGGGGTTGGTGGTGGTGTGGTTGTGTTGTGTGTGGGGTTTGTGTGGTGTTGTGGTGCTGGGGTGGTGTTGGTGGTGGTTGTGGGGGTGTGTGTGTGTGTGTGGTGTGGTGTGGTGTGTGTGTGTGTGTGTGTGTGTGTGTGTGTGTGGTGTGTGTTGTGTGTTGTGTGTTGTGTGTGGTGTTTTGTTGTGGTGTTGTGTGGGTGGGTGTGGTGTGTGTGTGTGTGACGGGTGGTAGTGTGGTGCGTATAGGTAGGAGGTATACGTGCGTTTAACGCTCAGGTATAAGTCGTCCGTTTAGACGGCTCGCCAGTTATGCGGGAGGACGTCAAACGAGGAGGGTAATGACCCTATGCCGTCAGACTCGCATTTGTTGGGATAATGGGGTGACGGAGAGGTTAGATGTACTGCGTGTAGAGAGGGACTAAACGGTCGGGTTTGGGAGGAGGTGTCTCGAGACAGTCTCTAGACACCGTCGCCGGGTCGACCTCCAACGAAACCCCCTACCGACACCTTCACCCACCTGCTACCTACCTACGCTCGAAAACCGTCAGGAACAACAACCCGTTACGGTAGACGGTCATAACTTTATACGACTCACAACAAATGTTCCGATGTACTCCGTGGAGTTGTCTAATCATGAAATTAATTTCTAAATTCTAAACCGAAAATGTGTCTACTTTTGCGACTATAACAATTACAAGAGCGATAGTGAAGATGTTATTTACAAAAGAGGCGACACAAAACGAAGTCGCTTCGGAGTAGGTTTTCACTTAGAGCTTGTGGGACGTCGGTGCTAAAATTTTATGGGGTCGTCAAAGAAGAATGACACGTGTGTGTTCTTACAAGGGGTGGTAATTTGCAGTAAACCGTCACGTACAATTTAACGTACAGTAACAAAAGAAACGTGAATCCCTGTGCGCGCGTCAAACTTTGTGTTGGTGCTTGTTTACTAGCGGATAAATTCAACGGTACCGCTTGCAAAGAGTCGTTTGTTAACGGATAAAAGTGTGTGAATATCACGTTTAGATCAAACGTTAATTAAAGCTGGGACCAAAACAGGGGATTAGTTACTACAATCAGGAGGTTATTAAAGTGGACAAAAATGATTGCACGACTCCTTTGTGTGAAACTAGAAGTCGACAATTTACGAGATATAAGAAGTCTTTCATCGAAACAAAACGACCCGACCCAACACTTAACCTAAATTTTCCCTCGAAAACGAACTTAAACGTCAGACGACGACTTTCGTACCACACTACTGCCACTTCCACCCTAACACCTTAAATAGTTTTATCTGATTTCCGAAAATCTCGACAGCCCTAAGACTACAGCTCAACCCACTAATTAATAACCAGCCAAGTAGTGATGTTACTCGGAAAAACATAAAGTGTAACGGTAAACTAACCAATTAATTAATATATTTTATAACGTAACACTACGGCCGAATTCCAATATAAATCCAAACCGTACGAACACGAGCGACGGTTGAAGTCGTTCTATTCCAAAATTTCACCTGGATAGTACGATATAACTTATTATATCAAATCCTGTTAGGATATATTCCGGTATAAATAGAAAAATAAAAAGTTTTATGGTTTGTCTAGTTGGAAAATCGGTAAGGGAATAAAACGAGTTAAATGTGACAGAACGTACCCGACTAAAACACTCTTGTCGTGTAGATGTCCGGACCGTATACATGATGTCGCAGAGGTCGCGAAAG